TACATCTACGACCACGCCGTGGCCGGACGATCAAGAGCCCCGTGCGCCAGTGCACAGGTCCGGGTCTCTGGGTCCCTTCTTCGCTGTGATGTCGGTTATTATAGTGTTATTGGCTCTGTCCTGTATCTTGGGCCGATATTTTGGATCTCGGGCTGAGGGCCCAGATTCATCATACGATTGCCTTGGATGGTGTCGTCGGAGATTTGTTCACCGGAGACGATGTGTTCTTGGATGTGGTGATGTGGCGGCGACGGTCATGGATTTGGATCCCAAGGCGAGGGATAGTAGGCAACTGTCCTTGGCTTCACCTCAGCCATGAATCCTTCATTACTTGTGTTTATTAGCATCTTTTTGTTGGTTATTTTTGAGTAGTTTTGGTAAATGAGTGACTGGCTTTTTTGATGTTATTGTTCTGCCCGTCTTTTGAATTAGTATATGGAATTATTGTGTCCATTTCCTGTTCCTCTTTTGATGTGATAAATTCAGTGCATGGTGAAGTTGTGTTAGCGTTGATCTGAATGAAAGGAATTAAACGTAAGTGTTATGCTAGCTTATAAAAAACTCTGTATTTTAGATTAGATGCTATGCATACTTCTGTGCTCATATTTTAGCTTAGAGTTCAAATTGCCTGCTCCATTTGTTTAGTAAAATACTACAAGTGTGATCGGGTTATTTATGAGTTGCAAATGGGGAGTAAATTAGCTTGAAAATGATCGACTCCTTTACAGTGTGTAGATGATGATGATGATGGTTTACGTGTTGTGAATTTTAATAGAATAAAATATGTATATTCTTGTCTCATGTTTGCCAGATGAGATGATCTGTTGATGGCGGCGTTGATGTCCAATCAAAATATTTGTCGATGTGACGTTTTTGCAATTTTAATTGGCATAGGACAATAAATAAAGAATTATTTAGCACCCATCATTTATTTATTACAAAATAATTGTTGATAGCATATATGCTCGCTCTTTAGTATCCAAATGACCCCCATGTAAGCGACCTATTGGTTACCTGTTTATCTAGCATATTCCCCATGGGAACCAATTACTCGCTCGCAAAGTATCTTTATAAGTTTCAAGAAAAAAAATCATAAAAAAGGTGCTCAGAAGGCCCCCATAAGATAATGATACTAATAATCCACATCCTTCATTGCTAAGATTAAATCGATTCTTGTTAAAAGTTGAATTTTACAAAAAGATACTTGTATCCCTTATCCAAATTATACAAGAAGTATTATTATTTTATAGCCTACATGCTTTATCCTTGGTTCATCCAGGCTTTTATCCTCTCTCTTCTCTCTGAATACATATCACAATACATCCCAGTAGTAGCCTTTTTTCAAGCAAAGGCCGCCCAAGAGGGAGAATGTCTCTCCTCAACCTTAACAAAATCATTCATAATATGTGCAAAAGAGCCTTTGGTGGCTCTTCACTATAGAACTATGAACACAAATGAAACAATGGTTGCCCCCCATGAAGAGGGGGCCGAAAAAAACAAATCTTTACACCCTCTACTTCTGCACGCCCTCTCAAATTTTACAAACAGCCGCCATCTTCCTTCACTTTCTCAAACCGATGCCAATAATGGTGGCCTCTCTGCAATCCACCGTTTAGTAACTCAACTGTACAATGAGAACGCTACCAGGTTTACGGCGAAGGAACCACATTGTGTACTCTACTTGTGACCTGAGTGATCTGCGCGATTTGGCCGACCCGTGCATCGAGCCTCGCGGACACCCCAACCGTCGTCGGCCGGACCGACCTCTGCCTGACAACGTGGCAGTACTCAGGATCCTCAGCCCTCCCCTCAAACCTTATCCACTGTATCATCCCGTGGTACATAGGGAAGAACCTCATTTGCATTGAAGCGTAAGCAAAATATGGAACTAGCGCCGCGATAGTAACTAAAACAGTCACAATCCAATAAAATGGCGATGGCGCAAGACCCTCGACGAAAACTTTGAAGGCAGTGGTGGATATGGTCGGAGTTATGGCTCCGTAAGCGAGGAGGAAGAGATACCAAAGGGCAATGCCACCCCAAATGAAGATGTGTTGGATTAGGGTGAAATAGGAGACTGAGAGGGCCATTTGTACGTTAACGACCCAAACCACAATAGTGTACATTGTAGCTCCTAGAGTTTCAAGGTCAACAACTTCGCCGCCATTTCGGAAAGCTTGGTGTTGAAGGGCAGAGGTCGTGAGGAAGAAGATGATGGTGGCACCTAGGACGCCATTGAACATCCAGCCGAGGATTCGGACCCAGCTGAAGAGGACATTCTGTACACCTTCTTGATAGAGGAGGGGGAACTGCAGTCCAAAATAGAGCCAGTGAGTTAAATGTGCTCAGATCAAGTAGGACTACAGGGGGTCGGACATCATAGATCCATGAAAATTTGTTTATTTTGGAAATTTGCAGTAAATTTGGAAAATATTATACAAATGTTTATGTGAATAAAGGAAAATGATTACTGATTATAATTTGTGTAGGTATGTACATATGTGTGTGCATATTGTGTATATATGTTGCGTATATATTAACAGTATTAGTTATATATAAATGTAAGTTGTAAATGTACATAGCATGCGTATGCATCTGTATATTTATACACAGTCCAACTATATTATATTATATTATAGTATAGTATGTTAATCTTATGTAGTGCTACATTACATATAGGAGATAATGGGTATGAGCTAGCATCTCATTTACTAAAACGGATCACCGCTTGGATTGAAATTTTCTCGGGATCCACCTGTTCTAAAATGACTACAGGATAGACCTCACCAATAGTATCATCCGTCGATAGTCACTCATACCCTTTTTTGTTATAAATATATAAATACGATAATTAGTTAGGCAATAAGCATATATGGGAAATGGATATGCAACTCGTACCTTCAAACAAAAACGAGCGGAGACATCTTGGTCGAACACACCCAAAGCGATTACAGGGAGAGATGTGAAGAAGACGTTATATAGCGACATAAACCAATCATTATAAGCTGGCTGACCAGAGAATGATGTATAGGCCTCAAATAAGAAGATTGTTAAACCAAATGTGATATTCTTGTAGAAGAAGTAACATATCTGCAAATAAAAGGGCATATTATAACAAGTTGAATTATAACTTGAAGTTTACAAACTAAATTGGATCAGAGATAATGTATTATACCATTGAAGATATCCTTCGGTAACACCAATGCCCATGAACAAGTAGCAAACGTTCTAGAAACCGAAATTGAGCTATTGCGACGTCACTTGACATGACTGCCTGGAATTATAAGCATAAAGACGGATAAAATTAGACTAATAACAATGAGAGGTGCATTTTAAATTTTAAGGTCATGGATAATGTAAAACTATTTTTACTAGAGAATTACTTTTTTTTAAGAAAAAAAAGGCCATTATACTTGCTTTTATTTGGAGAAGGTGATATAACAGCGCATAAGTTTCAAATACTTGAGATGTTTTCTTATTCTCACTCCCAAATCCTTATTCTCTCTAAGAAAATCAGGGGCATAAGGGATACATGACTATGTAACAAGTAGAATACTTGAAAACAACCTTGAATAAGATCCACCCAAATGATAGAAATGCATCCTAACATGATATATGAATGTTAACTAAACTATCCCTTTGCTTGTGTTTGATTGTTTATGGTACTAACCTGCATTCCTTCAACACCACTGATACCAACCCCTATGTCTGCTTCTTGAAGCATACCCACATCATTGGCTCCATCACCAATAGCTAGTGTTACTTTACGAGTGCCTTCTTTGACCAGTCTCGTGACCTAAAAAATATATCAGTGCCATCTTAAGATTATAGTTGACATAAGGATAGAATAAAATCAGTTAGAAAATAGAAAATTGTGAGAACTTACAAGGGCTTTTTGTTTTGGGGAAGAACGACAGCATATGACTGATGCACAACCCACAGCCAGCTGTAAGAATGAGTTCTTGACGTCGTCTTCTAAAGCATAGGCAAGTGATTTCCCATCGATGATCAAAGCAAATGCTTCTGTGCTCGTTGATTTCAATAGTTTCATTCCTTCACTTATTTGCTGGATAACACTGCCTTTATGTGCCTGAAAACAGAAATGGAGAAATTCCAAGCTTAATTGCAAGAACATAAAAACTATAAAAAGCTCTAAGCTTAGTTACCATGTATTGTATGACAAAAACATGAGGAATTTTATGAAGAATGGGAACCATAATAGCTTTACTTGCCCATTTATGACTATTGGTCTTAATCCTCATACGTTTCATTGTTACTACGAGATATGGTTCATCCCGGTCGAGTACCAAAATAGTTCAGTCCAACCGGTGCATTTATTACAGATTTTCAACTCTATCCTAGAAGTATACTATCAGTTTCAGATGCAGCAACAGTACTTTAATTATACTGAATTAGAATTGTCAACAGAACAAAGGTTGAGCATAAATGGCACTTTTTGCTACCTTAACAATGGCATCTTTGTTTCCTTGCTTCTCCAAAGCTACAATATCTGGTGTTTCCAATGTGATGATTATCTGCTTCATTCCTTGTCTCAGCAAACTACAGGCAAAACTGAAAAGAACAAAGGAGCAATGTCAATGCAGGCAGAATTAAAGACCACTGTGAAAAAGTCAAATAAAAACATATGTTAAAAACAAAAAATGTAGCATACCCAATATTGATGGCAGTCTCCATCTTATCACCCGTTAATACCCAAATCTTAATTCCAGCTTGTGCTAATTTGTCAATACATTCAGGTACCTACAGAGCAAACGAATGAAATTTTCAAAATTAAGAAAAAATATGAAACCATGAAAAAGAAATTAACATTGTTATGTAATAAGCTTCTACCTACCCCATTTTGGAGCTTGTCTTCAACAGCGGTGGCACCAAGAAGAATCAGATCCTTCTCAATTTTCTCTGCAGCTTGATCTATCTTTTCCTCTCTATCGGCACTAACTGAGTTCTTTGCCTCGATAAATTCTTCGTTGAATTTCTCATACTCTTCTCCATCAAGTTCACGATATGCAAGAACCAAGGTCCTTAATCCAGCGTCAGCATACTCATGCAAGTGCTCCTTAGTCTTCTCCTCAAATTCTCTTCCATCCTTTGCAAGCCTTTCAAACATAACACTGTTTATATGTCCAAAAGAAAATAATCAGATATGATGCACATTGCACAACATATTCAAAAGGGTTAATTGTGAATAGACCCCTCGAATGAATTTTTTTTGACTCTTTTACCCTCAGGAGCTATATTTGCCAAAAAATCTTTCTCCGAGGGTAAGAGACTCAAAAAAAAAAAAAAATCACTGAGGGTGTCTAACTGCAACAATAGAACTACAAGGGGTCTATCTGCAATTAGGTGACATTACAGGGGCTCAATCCACAATTAGTCCTATTCAAAGATAAGAACTATATCAATGAACTCGTATTCTATTGAAGCATAAATACCTGTCAGCACCCTTAGTCAGAAGCAAAAGTTTTCCATCATCAGTTTCAACTATCACAGACATCCTTTTCCGAGTGCTATTAAATTCTAAGATATTTAAGAGCCTATATGATCTGCCAGCAACACAAATAGAATATTAATTATATGTTTTTTTTAAAGAATATGAAAGGGAGGGGGAGTTGGCAGCCTAACCTGTCCATTGGCTTGCGCGATGGATCAAGCTCGTGAAGCGAGATAGATGTCTGTGTTCTCTGATAAAACTCAAACCCTAATTCCTTTGCTGCGATAACAAAGGCTGCCTCATCAGGTGACTCAGCTTCATAAGTGATTTTCCCCGAGGTTTCATCAACATCAGGTATCGCCGTATGGCAAATTGCCAGGAGCCGGAAGAACAACTGCAAAACATCGGAACGAGGTTCGTTTACCCAATTCCCATTCATGACACGCCCATCTTTGAAATTAAACCCTTTAACTGCTGGCCTTGCATCTAATTCTTCCTCGTCTTGATCAGCCTCGTAAATCAAAGGAGACCCTTTTCTTTTAGACATTGCTCTCTCAACTTCAGTAACACCTTTTCCATAGGCAGTACCGGCTATAGAGCACTTGATGAACTCCATAGAATTAGAAGTCAAAGTTCCAGTTTTATCTGAGAGGATAGTATCAACTTGACCTAATTCTTCATTTAAATTTGAGGTACGAGCATGAGCAGGGGTATCTGATGCCTCATGATACATTTCAATGTCTTGGTTTATGAAAATGGTCTGCAGAACTTTGACGATCTCTATAGAAACATACAAAGAAATGGGGATGAAGTAACTATACAGCATCATTGCGGTTAAGAAATGCAAAAGTGCTGCCTCGGTAGCCTTTTTAGGATCATAGTATATATCCGTGTCATCAGGACGAAGATACCAACGAGTCATTCTCTTGCCATCTTTTAGATCATCATGGGTTTTGATACCAAAACAAATCGACCCAACAGTAGCAATCACCACCAAGGCAAACATCAAAAGGTAAATAAGTTTGTCCATTTTCCTCTCTATTTTGCTTCTCTTGGATGGCGGATTTGTTGAATTCTGCATAACTTTTGTGTCGTGGCCTGTAAATATCACGATCCCATAGACAAAGTCAGTGTTTCTGAGTTTAGAATCCCTTAAAAGAATCTGTTGCGGCGAGAGAGCATATTGTTGTCCTTCATAGTCCATGGTTCCAACAAAAGTATAGAGGTTCGCATTTGGGTCCTCGCATTTTATCACTGCTTTGAAATGCTGGAAACTGGACTCATCTTGTAAGCTTGAAGTTGCTTCTAAAGATTGCTTCAGCTTCAAATTGGTTTCTCCATCGAGGTTCATGGTTTCGACATAACAGATCGCGTCCTCATAACTAGATGAAAGCAAGACTAAATCGGCAGGAAAGAAATTATCTTTCTCTACTTTTACTATGTCTCCAACCCTCAAATTTTTCCATTCGGTATGCTTAAAGTTTCCCTCACCGAGATGAACTTTAACCTTTCGATTATTCATCTCTCTATCCTGAAAGAAAGATTCAAAAAATCAACACCATAAGTAAGTAAGTAACCTTCAAACTCCTAAGAGAAAATAGCAACATGCATCCTAAATCATCAGCCTCCACTATCTCTAAATAAATGTTTAAGTGCTTTCAAATTAAGAACACTGTTGAAATTCTAATGCAAGTAACACACGAGAAACAGAACTAGTACATATTGTCTAGAACAGAAACCAAACTAATGAACATAGGGGAAGAATTTCCGAGTCAACATCTAGCTATAAGTTATTTACCCGAAGAAAAGGTAAATTTTTCCTCTCCTAAGTCAAGATCCAAACTTTCTTGATATATATGAAACAAATAAACAAATATAGGATAAATTAGTTAAGATCTCAATCCAGAACTAAACTTTCCTACTTTTCCATGAATCCTTTTTCAATCAACTTTTACTCATACACACATAACATCAAAAAGTTTACTTGCAAAAAAAAATTATTTTAAAAATTAAAATTAAAATAAAAAAAATTTACCTGTTGCCTCCTCCTCCAATCTTCAACAGCCTCCTTCACCATCGTCGCTCCAATCACCACCGCCAGAGGAAGAGCAGCACTCCCGGCGCTATAAGGCGCCAACGGAGTAAAAGCTAAGCATGCAGTGACAAGAAAATAAATGTTGGCGACCCTCCTAAATTGCTCAAACAAAGATTTTGGCACAAATGTGGCCAATGTATACTTTGTTGTAGACACGTAATTTGTACTATAATTTAGATTGTTCGCCTCAAAACAATCCGGATCGTTGGCAAAGACGATCCTTGAGTAGCCCGGGCCTCCGATATTCGAATGATCTTCATTAGGAGTAGGGTTTCTACATGAAAAGCTGAACAATTTACTCAAGCGGATCTTCCTCCTCCTCCCTCCTCCAGCCATCTAAATGTAACGAAAAACCAGCGCAAAATGCTATCCTAGCGAATATTTGGGATCGGCCCAAATCAAAACACAAGCTTTTGAAGAAACCCAAGTCTAGAATCACTCTGATAACTTGAAAGCTTGGAGATTTTCGAGTTCTTAACTTACGCCCAGATGGAAAAACTCCTCCTTTTTGCTTTCTAAGACTACAATACAATATATTAGAGCTGCCCACAAGCTATAAGAACCCACCCAAGACTTTGAAACTTTCTTCTCCTCCTCTAAAAAATTCATATGGAGGAAGAAAAAAACAAGCGAAGACTATATCAAATACGCGTATATTTTATTTGGGCAACGGGGGAATTGTGCCCAAATAGAGACATTTGGGATAAAAATGGGAGCTTGGTGAGGTTTATTCCGAGTTCTAGAGGGTCAACAAAGTCTAAGTTGGAAAATCTCTCTCTTTTATTATTGAAAGCTATTGTTTAGGATTTTCTTATCTCCTCCCTCTTGCCTCCTCCTCTCTTATATTTCCTAGTAGCTTGTTTTTTTTAAAGAGGAAACAATGGCATTCAAGGACCTTGTTATGTCTGTTTGGTTATTTCCTAAAAACTAAGAAATGAAAATAAAAAAGTGGAAATCTTAAAAAGTACAATTTTATCCATTTACATCCTTAAAATTCACTCACAACATTCAATAAAATATTATTTTCATCTAACAACTCATCCACAATATCTAATAAAAATATTTTTATCCAACAACTCATCTGCATCTAATAAAATATTATTTCTACCCAACAACTCATCCACCACATCTAATAAAATATTATTTTCATCCACAACATCATTCAACTCATCTCATCTTATCATTTCAAATCACTCACATCATTCAATAAAATGGTGACAACTCATCTCATCTCATTAGCATTTCATTTCCACACATTTTCTCTAAAAAAGCTAGGAAAACGATTTCCTTAAGTGTGGGTCACATCATCCAATAATATAATGACAACTCATCTCATCTCATCTATTTTTTTTATTTTTAAGAATGAACCAAACAAAAGAAAACAACCTATTACAAGAAATATGTTTATTATAATTCATTTCCTTATTTTTTTCACCAACCAAACAACATTAAAACAATTTTTCTTAAAAATTTTATCACATCATCCTATAATAAGGTGACAACTAACATCATCTCATCTCCATTTTTTTGTTTTCCTTCTTTTTTTAGCCAACCAAACATTCCCAAAACAATTTTTCTTAGAAATAGTTTTCCATTTCTTTGATTTCCCTCTTTGATTTCTTTGTTTTCCATTTCTTTGATTTCCCTCTTTGATTTCTTTGTTTTCCATTTCAGAGAGAGGGATATTTGATAATTAATGTAGGTTGATATAGTTTACAAAGAGAGTGTATATATCATATCCATGAGATGAAGGGGGGTTTAACTCAATAGAGTTGCCTTATTTATCTTGTTCATTAATTTATGGGGAGATTCTCTAATACATTGGGGCAAATTTCAAGAAAACTATGGATTATTAGTTGCTTAAAGATTCTCATGTATGAAAAGATGGGGTTAATTACCTTTTGGGATTAATAGTGTACGTTTGTAAACATGGGTCCGATTCAGCTGTCTTAGTAATTTTGAAGAACTGTAATAAATTAGCTAGTTGACTATTGTAAATATTGATGAATAATCCATCAATTTTATACGCTCATAACTGAATATATTAAAAGTTGCTCAATCATCTCTCGCCTTTTTCTCCCTCTCAGACTAAGAGAGACAATAGGATTTAAGGAACATGTCATAAAAGTATTAAATTATTTGTTAACTAATGTTTAGGAAGTACATAGTTTAAAAAAAGGGTGTGAATATATCACAACTCAAGTAGAGAGAGGATTAACTTGAGTTTCTTTGATCATTAGTTTATGGAGGAGATTCTGTAATCCATTGAGGCTCTCAAAAGAGAACTATCGCCTCGTTTGGTACGCAGGAATGGACATAAGTGAGAATGGAATGGAAGAAGGAATGGAATGGATTGTATGTGGGAATGGAATGGTCATTCCCATTCTCATGTTTGGGTACTTTTGTAGAATGAAGCTAGAATGAAAATCTTATTCCCATTCCCATGTTTGGTATCACTTGTTCACAAGTGAGAATGGAATCACATTTTCTAATAATGTCCTTACAACAACATATATTTTTAATAAGATAAAAATAAACATTAATGATAATAACTAAACAATTTTATTTATGCATAGGTTATACTAATTTCTATGCATGTTATACTAATGCGCATGTTATCTCTCAAGTGTATGTTCTATTTGGCTCGGTCGTTGAAGAGAAAGGCGATGCCAGGCGTGGCGGTGACTTCAGTGGAAGAGGCGATGCCGAGGTGGAGGCGTCGTCGGAGGCTCTGGGTTCGAGAGGCGGTTGAGGCGGCAGAGTAAGAGGTGGGGGAGGAGGGGTTGGGGTTGGGATTGAAGTAAGGAAGGAGAGGTGACGGCACGGCGATTTCAGAATAGAAAGATAGGAGGCGTTTATTTTGGTGCAGGCTAAAAAGAAGGAAAAGCTGATTTACATTCCCTAATACTTAGTCAAAGAGCCATTATTTTTTGGTTTATTTTTTATTATTAATAGGGGTATAATTAAAAAATAAATAACTGATTTGATTCTCTCTTGAATGGGAATGACCATTCCCTATCTTCTCACTTGGAATGCCCATTCCCACAAAAAGTGAGAATGGTCATTCCCTGGGAATGGTCATTCCAACATCTAAAAAGTTGATTTGTTTGGTATGAAGGAATGAGAAGTGAGAATGCCATTCCATTCCACCCCATTCCCGCCTACCAAACGAGGCCTAGATTTGATTCTCCCTTGAATGGGAATGACCATTCCCTATCTTCTCACTTGGAATGCCCATTCCCACAAAAAGTGAGAATGGTCATTCCCTGGGAATGGTCATTCCAACATCTAAAAAGTTGGTTTGTTTGGTATGAAGGAATGGGAAGTGAGAATGCCATTCCATTCCACCCCATTCCTGCCTACCAAACGAGGCCTAATGTATAAATGTTGTGCGCAGCGGAAATTTCGGCAGAGTTTCTGGTGCACAATAAGAGAGAAAGATCGATAAGAATTCTTGTTTCTCAAAGGGAACAAGAATCTGAAAGCCTAATATCTCATCAAAGTGGGATATTAGCTCTTCCTCTCGTCAGCTCTAGGACTGCGCGTCGAGGGATCCTAAAAACTATTACAATGGCCACAAACTCAAACAATCAATTTTAACGTGGTTCGGCAAACTGCCTACGTCCACGGGGCAAGGAGGGGGAGATCTACTATTAGAGGGGAGAGAATACAACTAGGGTTTACAATTACTCTCAAACTAAACCCTCACACAAACTCTCAGATCCCTCACACAAACTCTCTCAAAAGGGCAAAAAGATTACACAGAAAACTCCTCTCAAAGTCAGCTCTACACGCTAACCAAGGAAGAAAAAGCTAACTGCACACAAAAACTTGCCGCACAAATTTTCTCCTTTGCCTTAGCTCTGCCGTTTTCCCCCTCAGCCTCCACCCGAAACCCTAGGACATTCTCTCTTTTATAGGATGATGTGATCGGGTGGGCCTGGCCTAAACTTCTTCACGCGTGAACTTTTCACGCGGCTTTCACGAGTACGTGGGTTGGCCCCACCACGGCAAATCTCTGCACGTGTTTATCCAACAATTCTCCACCTCGGCGAAGTTTTCCCAAAACTGAGCCGACACCAACCAAACCAAATGCCTCACTTGTTGTGTCCAGTACGAAGTGGAAACAATTCACGAAACGGGATTAAATCCATAACAAGTCGGGAACCCAAAATGAGAATGCATAACACTTCCAAATGTCAGTATCCAACTCACCAAATCGATCTCACCGCTCATCAAAATCCAAACCGGCTGCATCATAAGAGCTGCACTACGTATCCTCTTGCCCAAGGAATCAAGCCGAACGTAGTTCCACCAAATGTCCTCCAAAGACCTCCCTCAATCCAATAGGAAGATTTCGCAACCCTTCTCCAATATCATCAACTCTGCGACTATAGCACCTCCAATGGCCTTTCCAACAAAAACACCTCCACCTTAGGTGAACCATATGGTCATATCCAAACTATGTCTGCCAGCTGCACTCGATTCAAAACCCAACTCATCATCTGCATCCGAATCCAAATGATCTCCAAGCCGTGTCACATCAGCTGGAATCCCAAATAATGCAGTATGATCTGGAGTAATCTTCACCCAATGTGGAGTAGTATCACTCTCCACCCGCTGCGATACCTCTAAGGTCTGTCCAAAACTCTCCACCTGCTGAGAGTCAATTGGCTTCCTCATCGAAGCCTCAACCAAAGTGACACTACCAGACCTATCTTCCAATGGAGTTTTACCTCCAATCACAGCAGTTGACAACTCTTTAATAGGATGACCCAAATATGTCGAAGCCTCTGTCCAGAAACTCTTCTGCAAACCATTGCTCGACCACAAACACCGATCCTCCTCCAGTAAGGCACGGTTCTCCAAATTTGTCACCATATCTAGCTGCCCCAAGATTTCCTTTCTAACGAAGTGTCTCGAAATGTCGTGAGCTCTGCTCCAATGTAGAAACAGGTCCATCTTGTACCTCCCATCAAAATCAGAATGGAGTACCTTCACCTTTCTGTCTATTACACACTTCTTCAATCTGTTGGATACTACTAGGACTTTCTCCAAAGGGGATTTGGTTGCAACCCAAACACGCCTAGAACAGCCACCAACAAAGGAAACCAAACGCCTATTACCTCCCAATGATGTCCCCTTGGAAGGCCCCCAAACATCCACGTGAACTCCTCCAGAATGACCCTTAGCACGGTGAATAGAGGTGCCACACTTCACCTCGGTCTTCTTGCTCACATCAACATGTTCACTGGACTTCAAACTGCAGGTCTTCGCACCCTCTTTCAATCTATGCTGGAAGACCGAGGTGATAATTCACAAGTGCAGCAGTGACCTCACTATACGAAAGTGATGCCTTCCCATTAATAAGAGTAAGAACGAAGGTCTCATATTCCTCGTCGGGCAAGGAACTCAACAACAGCAACGCCTTGTCCTCATCTTCAATCTTGACATCCACATTCGCCAAATCCGCAAGAAGCTTTGTGTAGTGGTTCATGTGATCTCTAATGGAGGTTCCCTTCTTCAACTGGAAACGATAAAGTCTCCTCTTCAAATGCAAGCGATTTTCCACACTCTTGGTCAAATACTTGCTTTCGAGAATCTCCCAAATCTTCTTCGCAGAAGTCTCATTCATCACATCATATTTTAGATCTTGAGTCAAACAAGACCTAATCACACCACACGCCGTTCGATTCATCTTCTTCCAAACCTTCTCTTCAATCTCATCTGGCTTGCCATCTAACTCCAATGTATCCTCCAAATTCTGCGCGTTCAGCGCATCCA